CAACCCCAAGATCGAGAGTCACACACTCTTCCCACTGAGTCAGCCAGGAGCCCCTTGAACATTTTCGAATAACGGAATCCAGTAGTAGTTTTTAAATTTAAATTAAAATGAAGTGAAATTAAGACTGGTTTCTCATGGTGCTAGCCACATTTCAACTGCTCAATAGCCAGTGGTTAATGGCTACAGTATTGAAAAGCATGCATCTAGAAACCTTCCCTTTTACACATGTGAAGGATCTAAGCTTGGTTTTCTTAAGAGAGCTGTGGTTTCCACCCTGCCTTAAAGGGTGTTAGGCAGAGAAGAACAGTCACAGAGTAGAACAGCTACCCTGGCAACACGAGGTAGACAGAATGGGCACTAGGAGCTCTAGGACAGAGGAGTTATGATCTGACTTGGGATCACGACGGTCAAGGTGGAGAAAGAGGCTGGATTAGAGATATACGGTATATAAAATCATCGAGGACTTGGTGACTGATCAGATAGATAGAGGTATGGGGGGCTGGTGCACCTGGGTGGCTCACCGATTAAGTGTTTAACTCTGGTCATGATCAGGTCATGATCTCAGGGTCATGAGATGGAGCCCCGCATCGGCCGCCCGCGCTGGAGTCTGCTTAAGATTCTCTCTTTCTCTCTCTCTCTCCCTCTCTGGCCTTCCCCACATTAAAAAATAAGTAAATAAAGATATAGGGTTGGGGGAACAGGAAGCAAGAGGTAGCAATCTAGGATGATTCCCCAATCAACTTCCCCCATTCCCCACCCTCAAGTTGATTCCAGGGTGTTCTAGTTACCAATTGCTACTTAGCAAACCATCTCAAAATGTAGTGACTTAAAGCAACAATACGTATTTTATTATTACCTCTCAGAGTTCTAGAGGCCGGGCCTAGAAGAGCGGGTCTTGCTTGGGCGTCTCTCATGCATTTGTGTCATACAAAGTCTTCCTCACACATCTGGTAGTGACGCTGGCTGTCAGCTGGAACCTCAGTGAATACTGCTATGGGCCAAATCGTGTCTAGTGTCCCCAGAGTTATTATATGTTGAAGTCCTAACCCCCAGAATCTCAGATTGTGACCATATTGGAGGCAAGCCCTCTAAAGGGGTGGTTAATTTCAAGTGGGATCATTAGGGTGGGCTGTAATCAATATGACGGGTGTCCTCATAAGAAGAGAAGATTAGGATACAGAGATACACATAGAGGCAAGACCATGTGAAGGAAGAAAACAGACATCTATAAGCCAAGGAGAGAAGCCTCAGAGGAACCAAACTTGCTGACATCCTCATCTCAGACTTTGAGCCTGAGGTCTGTCAAACAATACATTTTTGCTGGTTAAGCCCCCCAGTCCGCCGTAGTTTATTACACGGCCCTAACCAACCAATACAAACGCTTACCTGTGGTCTGTGTGGCCCTTGCTTCCACACAGCAGAATGGTTCCAAGAGAGAGCATCCCAAGCGGACCTGGCGCAAACCCTGTCACCTGTTATGACCTTGTTTCAGAAGTCACAGGCCTGCTCAAATTCAAGGGGAGCGAACATATAGACTCACCTCCTAACAGGGTGATTAGTGAATTGCAAGAAGAACATGGAGGATGGAAGATCCTATTGTCACCATCTTGGAAAAACCCAGCATGCCACACCGGGTTGGCATCTTGAGGCAACAGGCATGGTGCGCTTAACCAAGGCAGAGATTCCAGGAGGAAGGGGAGAAGGTCGGAGGTGGGTTAGACAGTGAGGTAAGAAGGTTCGAACAGGTTGGGTTGGCAGAGCCTGTCTACATTTAGATGGAGGTAGCCAGATGCTAGGAAGTTGGATGTGTGAGTCAGAGCCTCGGGAACATGTTCTGACGGGGAACTGTCAATCTGGGGAGCATCGACACATTAGAAGCCAGAGACTAAGCACACCCAGAGAGTGAGAGAAGATGAGAGTTACCCATTACTATATAATAAGCCACTCCAAATCCCGGTAGCTAAAAACAACTATTTATGATGTTTTGACAGGTTGGCCGGACAGTTGCTCTACTGGTTTCACCTGGCTCACTCATGTGGCTGCGTTCATCTGGATGGTGAGCTGGAAGGGCCAAGAGGCTGTGACCCTCATGTCGGCAGGCAACAGCTGGAACAGCTGGAACACTTGGGCCCCTCTTTCCCTGTGGTCTTTCATCCGGGCTTCTCCACAGTGTGGGGGTCTCAGGGAAGCATTCTAAGTGGGCGACTCCCAGTGTACAGGACTTATCAAGCACATCTGCTAATACCTCATTGGCCAAAAATGTCCTATGGCCAAACACAAAGTCAACGTGGGATGCCTTACCAGGAGGCCCGATGCACTGGCAGCCATTACCGTAAAAATGCACTACAGGAAGGAATACCAAGTGGGCCTCCATGCAGAGAAGAACCACAGATGGCAAGATGGAAGAACCAGAGGAGGACCAGAAAGATACAGTCCTAAGGAATCAAGGGGGAAGGAGTGAATTCCCCTGGGAAAGTACCACGCCAGCATTTTCTTGACCTCCAGAGTGCATGTCTCACCCTGGCCCCAGCCTGGAACCATCCTCTGGATTGGGCAGCCCACAGGTCAGTCTCTTTAACACCTCAATATTCATTTCTGTATTAGTTTCACAAAAATCATAATCACCAAATACAGCTCAATGAAAGCAATTCTGCAATACCATCGGCACCTGCAAACTTTATGATGGCCTGGCTCGACTAATAGAAAACCCACAGGGCTGTCAAATGCTTTTGATGGAGACTACAGTAAGAAACACCTTTGCATCAAGATCCAGCACATGCACATGTATACACACACGCCTGCGGACACACACTGACACGCATGCCAAAATTCAAGCGTCCTGCAACTTAGAACACATAGTGGTAACTTACCCTTGCTACATGCAAAGCTCTGTGCCATGTCCTATTCTTGTTTTGGTTTTAAGATTTTATTCATTGGGCAGCCCCGGTGGCACAGCGGTTTAGCGCTGCCTGCAGCCCAGGGCGTGATCCTGGAGACCCTGGATCAAGTCCCACGTCAGGCTCTCTGTGTGATGCCTGCTTCTCCCTCTGCCTGTGTCTCTGCCTCTCTGTCTCTGTGAATAAATAAATAAAATCTTTAAAGAAAATCTTATTTATTTATTTATTTATTCATGAGAGACAGAGAGAGGCAGAGACGTAGGCAGAGGGAGAAGCAGGCTCGCTGCAGGGAGCCCGATGTGGGACTTGATCGCAGGTTGCTAGGATCACGACCTGAGCCAAAGGCAGATGCTCAACCACTGAGCCACCCAGGTGTCCATGTTTTGTTTTGTTTTTAGTGCTAGTCAGCCCTGCTAAACTGATTTCACCATCCGCTCACGGGTCATGGCCCAGATATTAAAAAATACTGAGGCCATTCGGTGCAAAGTCAGCACGGTGACTGAGCCTTACCTTTAGTCTCGTTTGCTTGGTTTCACCTGTTGGTAGTTTTGTGCTGTTGTGTTCTTTTAATTGAATATGATGCCTTCAAGCAGGCCTCCCTTTTCCTGTTCCACTTTTGACGGTCTGATACCCATTGTGTTCACACATCTCTGTTACCTGCCTGGACCCTGAATGCATTTCTGTTTGGGCCTTCTAGATCCCCAGACTTTAAAAGAATAGGGTTTGCATTTATGCACTCCATGAATATTGAATGCCTGTCTCTCACGTCACGTTGCAGGCACTGGTAATATAGCAGAAAACAGACAGAAATCACTGCCTTCATGGAGCTCAGATTCTACAGGAGGCAGACAGACAGAGAGAGAAAAAAAAGTAAATCTATTCTTTATTAGAGGGTGGTTATTGTTTAGTGAAAACAAAGGGGGAAGGGGTTCGGCCTGCTTGAAGAGCTGCCAGATTGCAGGCTTCACACCCCTTTCTGGAAATAAGGGAGCCTCATATGTTCCTACCTAACACAGGAGGACTCAGAGAGAGAGTGTGGGAGGGCAGAGCCGGTTTTCCCCAAGAAGAGCCCTCCCGGACTGCCCCACCAGGTAAACGTGACCTACCCTGCCCCCGGATTACTCTCCCAGAGAGCGACGCACCAGCAACTTTCACTAGACCGTCAGCAACCAGGCAGCCACGGCTGCGGCGCGGAAAGCCCTTGGGACTACTTCAGACTGTTCCCTAAATCGGCCAGTCGCAGTCCCCGCCACCCTCGCTCGCTTGCGCGGGCTACGCGGCCACCTCATCAGATCTGCACACATGACCCCTCTCGACCGGACTCCTGGTGATACGCCTGCCTTATCTCTCGCCTCTCCTCCCTCACATTTTCCGCTCCAGCAAAGCCAAACACAGCGCAGTGGGGGCTTTCACGCTTCTGTGCTCCGGACACGCTGTTCCTTCTGCCTGCAAGGCCTCGGGCCTCCAGCCCCGCCCCCGCCCCCGCCCCCGCCCCGCCCCCGCCCCCGTCCCCGGCGAGCTCCCACTCATCCCGCAGAACCCGGCCGGGATGCCCCTTCCCCCAGGCCCCGCTGGGTCCCCTGCTCGGGCCGCACCTCGGGCCGCAGCACCCATGCCTCTTTCGCTGCTCTGCGCTGTGCGCACCGATCTCTCCGGGTCGCTCCGCTCCCAGACCCGGGCCTCCTCCCGCGCCGCCGCGGAGGAGGGGGGGGGGGCCGTGCCGCGGGAGCGCCGGGGCGTGCTGTGGCTAGGCCCCGGCCGGCCCGCCCCCCCCGCCGCCGGCCGCCCCGCGGGCGCCCGCGCTCCCGCCTCGCAGCCCCCGACAGCCCCGGCCGCGCGCGACTACAAGTCCCGGCACGCCCCGCGGCGGCCGCGCATGCCCAGCGGGCCGGCGTTTGAGTGGCAAGTTGTTTGTTACAGCGAACACCAGCTGCTCTCCGCGCCGGGCGCCGCGCGCCGCCGCTCTGCCAGCGCTGCCGCCCTCGCCCGCCGCCGCCGCCGCCGCCGCCGCCGCCGCCGCCCGCCGCCGCCCCCCGCCGCCCCCTCGCGGCTCGGCGGGCCTCCCCTTTGTCCGCCCCGGGCCGCCCGGCGCCCAGCTCCCGGGCCCCGGCCGGCCGCCCGCGGCGCCCGGTGCCGGCTGGGCGCGCAGGGGGCGGGGGCCGCGGCTCGCCCCCCGCCGATGAGCCGCCGCGGCGCGCGGGCGGACGATGGAACTCCACATCCTGGAGCACCGGCTGCAAGTTGCCAGCGTCGCCAAGGAGAGCATCCCGCTCTTCACCTACGGCCTCATCAAACTTGCCTTCCTGTCCTCCAAGACCAGGTGAGCGCGCGGGGACGCGGCGCCGGCCGGGCGCAGACAAAGAAGCGCACCCGGGCGGCCGAGCTCGCCGCGGAGCCTCGGGAAACAACTTGGAGCCCCGGGGAGCGCCCCCGCCCGCCGCCCGCCGCCCGCCGCCCGCCGCGGAGCCGCCCGACCTGCCCTCGGGCAGGGTCCTGCCGCCCCCCCCCCCGCCCCCGAGGTACCCCCGCCGCTGCCTTCCTTCCCCCCGCCAGCCCCCGTCTCGGTCCCTCCCCGAGACCCGGAGGGCCGGGGAGGCTGCGGTGACGAATCCGTGAATGAATGAATGAACGAACGAACGAACGGATGAAAGAAAAACAGGTGTGGGGGCGCGACGGCGGAAAACACGAACTAACGCCCCCCACCCCCCCACCCCCCAATCCCTCGGCCGGGCCGGGCCGGGCCGGGCCGGCCCCCGTCGCCGGGGCCGGGGGAGGGACTGTGCTGAGCGCCGCTGCCCGGCGCACACAATCGTAGAATCATTAGTGGGTGTTGATCCCGAGGTGCCCGCGGGGCCCGCCGGCGGCGCGGGAGGCTGCGGAGGGTCCGGCAGGGCCCGGCAGGGCCCGGGCGGGGCTGCGGGCGAGGGTCGCGGCGCCGCGTTCTCCTCCCGGCCCGGGAGGGTGGGGGGGGCCGTTGCCGAACCGTGGAAGGGGGAGGAGCAGGCGTGTTTATGGCTCAGCCTCGAGGCTGGGCTTGGATGCTGCAGGGGGAAAAATAGTTGAAGGCCTCGGGAGGTTGGGGAAGAAACGACAACAACAACAGAAAACCCAAGTTGGATTTTTCCCTCTACCAGGTCAAGGTCTGACCCCGTGGGCCCCGGTGGGCGTTTGGACTGGGGCGTGTTGTTGTTTTTTTTTTTTTTTTTTTTTTTTTTTTTAAGGAGCCCGAGCCCAGTGGAGTGTGAGCTCGAGCTGGCCGCTGTAACTTAAATGCCTTGTTTGTCCACCATTGTGACTGTTCAAAGCGATGAAGTTGTTGCCGGTTGGGTTTTTAGGGGTTGGGGCGGAGGTCGTTCTCCCTGGCTGCAAAATGAATGAATGCATTCCAGGTCAAGGTTAACGTTGCAAGGACGGCCCCTAAAGCTGCCCCCCTCGGCCCTGAGCTCGGGGAAGCTCTGGGGATGCAGGAAAATAATTCAATCCGAGCTTCTTATCTGCCTGGTAAAGTTCTTGCCTGGAAATCTCACTTTGATGTGTGTGTGTCTGAGCGGGCAGCTCAGTCCCGCCATTGTTTGCGAGATGGAGCGAGATCCGCTGGTGGCATCTTGTTTACTTTCTTCTCCGGCTGCTCTTCTCTGCTCTGCTCTGCTCTGCTCTGCTCGGTGGGGGTATGGAGGGTTGAAATCCTCTCCTTCCCGGAGCAGAGGCTCCTTTGATTCCAAAGGTAATTATTAAACAGGTCATTTGAAAACAAAAGCCAACAGCTCCAATTCTAAACCTTTCACCACCACCACCTCCCCTCCGCCCCCCTCTGGCTGTTGACACCCCCCCACCCCATCCCTCCTGTACCTACCCTCTGTCCCCACCCTCAGCCTGTCTTGAGCTTCCGAGGCTGGAGGTAAGAGAGACTATAGCCTTGTTTTTCCAACCGGTGGCCCTCAGCCCCAGGCAGCCCCCTGGCTGATTTGTAGGCTCCCATTCAAACCAGGATGATGACTCAGGCTGCGGCTGAGCGGGGCCTGGGTGGGTGCTGGGAGGAGGGGGCATCTGGGGGCTTCTTAGGAAGGCAGCAAAGAGCCACTCCCTCTGCCCCTCACCCTTTGTGTAGGGACCGGCCCTCTTCCAGCCTCTATCCCGGTCCAGTTTTGAGAATTCACAGGTTGACATGGGAGGCTCAAGACCCCTGCTGAGCTGTCTGACCATGGAAATCACCCCACATTGAGTGGCCCTTGCTCTGCCCGCTGCTGGAGGCCGCTGGTCTGTGGCCCAGGTGTCCAGTCCAAGCTCAAGATGACTCAGAGGTCAAAGGTCATATCCTTGTCTCCTGGGTCTGGTGCTAGAAGGTGCTGAGTACAATTGCCAGATAGCTGAAGGCCTGCCTTCCCTTGCACTCGGAGGCTGGGATGCTGGCTTCAGGCTGTGGTCAGCCCCGTGCCCAGGGCAGGGTCCCTTTCCTCCCCGGGTTCTCACTGTGTCCTCCTGTAATGAAGACACCCCCCACCCCCCATTGTCACAGAGCTGCTGTGTGTGGCATGTAATGATCGTGGATGCCGGCTTTGTCACAAGTAGAATGGGTAGTTGGGTGTGGATATATTCCTGAAGCTATTTCAATAATCAGTCCTCCAGGGCGAACTTTTCTCCCCTTTTGATTCTTCCACCAGCACCTACCCCCAGTGGTGGCCCACAGCCCTGTCACTTTCCCCACCCCCGACCTAAGTTTAGCTCAAACTAGTGGCTGGGGGCGCGTGTGCACACACACACACACACACACACACACACACACCACAGTGTCGCTGTGCTGCCCAGTCACAAGTTTTCAGCCGCTCCCTATAGGGCCGTATCCTTGGCATGGCATTAGAGGCCCCTGGCATCCAGATCTAGAATCCTCACCTTTAGCCACTCAGGCAGATACTCTGGTGACCGACAATTGACTTACCCTTCCCTTCACACCTCTGTGCTTTCCTACTTCCCATTCGGCCTGCAAACACGCCCCTTTCCTGGTAAATTTCTGTTCACCCCTCAACATCTAGTGATCTCACCCTGAACCTTTCTTGAACCACCTCCCCCCTTCCCTTTGCCCCCAGCAGACTTAATCACTTTTTCCCTCTTGTTTCCACCTGGGTGGAACCTTGGAGGAGGACTTGCCATTGGTAGATACTCGCTGGGGGGAGGGGGTACAGCTGCATCTAAGAGTTAAGATACTCTGCTCCTCCTTGTTCCAAGCCTAGAGCCTGATGGAGGGGAAGGAGGACACAATTACAGTAGAGTGGAGTCAGGGAAGGGGATCAGCTGGGGAAGCCGACAGGCCTGGGAGGCTCCCTGTAGGAGGTGGCACTGGATCTTAAGGCTTTGAAATAGGAATTAGCTAGGTGGGAAAGGGGATCCCAGGCCCAGATCCTGCACACACCATCGTACAGCTCTGTGAATTGGGTTTTACACCCACTTTGCAAAGGAGTCTGAGGCTCAAAGGTTAAGTGACTTGCTCAAGGTCACACAGTAAGTGGTAGAGATGAGATTTTTGAATCTGCATCTTACTGACTTAAGCTCAGAGATTTACTCTTACAGGTGCAACGATACCCGTGTTCAGCTGTTATGTCCAGCTCTTCTGTTAGCAGCACATGCTCCTAAAGGTTTTTGGGGGCACAGAGTGGAAGGTGTAGGCTTCCTGGATCCCTTCTGTCCTGCTTCTGCGGACCTTTCTCTCCTGGACCCATCCTGCCTCACCTACCAACTACATTTTGTACTTCCTCGCCGCCCTGATCAGGTGCTCCCTCCCCAGAACCTTTCATCCCTGCTTCATAGTTGTCCATCACAGCATGTTGTTGGGTTTCTTGTCCCACCCTGATGCTAAACCTTATCCCCAGGAAGCTTTTTGAGTAGTTTTACCTACCCCCGACTCCCAGCCAGTACCAGAGAGAAGAGGGCCAACCATTGATTTCACTCTCCCTTACAAAAAGGTAAAGATGCTGGGTTTGGAGAAGGAAAGTGGCTTGCTCAAGGTCACGCAGCTGGGAAGAGACAGAATTGGGATTTGAACCAGGTCCTTTCTCCACTGTGCTTAGCACACTGCTTTGTCGGCACTTAGTAACTGCCTGTTTGATGGATGTCCGACTCGTGCACAGAGTGACCCAGATTTCAGCCAGTCTCTTATGAGTGCCCTGGGGGCTGGAAGAGGCGAGGCAGGCAGAAGCACACCTGGAGAAGCGAGGCCCAGCGCCCCTGCCCCCTGCCGAGGTTCAGGGCAGCATCTGGGGGTGGCTGGACCGGCGGCGTGCACTTATTCCAGGCACAAAGAGGGAGAGCGAGACCCTGGGTGAACAAAATCAGAGCCATCCACAGAGCCTCTCCTCCACTCTTGTGATAAACTGAGGTTCTGTAGCCTGGCTGAGGGCCCGCTGCAGCCCACCTACTTCTCTTTCTCCAGCCTCACCTCTGCGGGCTCCCAGCCACACAGACTGTTGCTCCTGCATGAACGCGCGTGTACACACACTATGGCATCTCCAACCTCAGGCCTTTGTTCTTCTGTCTGTCTGGAATGTTACCCTTTGCCCTACTCTTTTTATCTGCCTTCTCATTCTTTTGGATCCCATTTTGGCCTCACCTCCTCCAGGAAGCCTTCCCTGAGTGCACAAGCCAAGCTTAGACCCTTCTGGTATGATGGGCTTATTCTCAAGAAGATGAAATGTGATCAACCACGGGATATCAGCAGGATGCTTTGGGTTGCAAATAACAAAAAGCCTTGACTCAGCTGGCCTAAACAATGATAGGTTTGTGTGATAAGAGTTTGCAAGACCGGCTGCTCCACGGGTGGTAACTTTAAGGCTTGATGATGTCTTGAAGGACCCAGGTCTTCCTGCCTTTGTATTTGGCCATCCTTGGCATGGCTGTAGGCTTTATTGGCAGTCAGGAGGAAACCCAAGGTTGGGAAAGGCTCCTTGCCTCCCGAAAGTCTCAGAAACCTCTCCAGGTTTCTGAGAAACCTCTCCACCCCGCTTTTGCACAGACTTCTTCATCCCATTGAGCAGAACTGGGTCACGTGAACAGGCCTGCACGAATCCCTGGGACAGGGGATGAGACCATCACAGACCAATCAGGATCCGCCGTGACCAGAGGGGCGTGTCTGCTGCGGGTGGCGTGGGGGGGGGGGCAGGGGGAGGCCGAAGCTCCTGCAGCTCTTGTGGGATTCAGAATGCTGTGTGCAAAAAAAAAAAAAAAAATTTGCTCTCTGCGGACCCCTTACGGCAAAACGAGGGTCAACTAATAAGTCTGTAGTAAAAATGTTGACAACTCCAAGTCAGAGTTGTTCCCATTTTACAGATA